ATTATATATATATATATTAGGTGTAGAAAAAGAAATCCATTATTTTTGCATGAAATTGAATGGAAAAATAAATTTTTTTTTACTACACCTAATATATTATATCTTTGTAAATATAATTGTAAAAATAATTGACGCTTTATATATCGAGTTTGGAACGTTACCTGGGCCGGGAATGTGCCGTATAGGATCTTTTAAAATAAATTTCAATTTATGACAACCGACACTGGGCATACACGCTTGATACATTGCTGCCCATAGGAAGTTCCAATCCACCCTCGTTCTGTGATTCATCACGAGTACGGCCGATTCATTAGGAGATATATGATCGCCAGATACGTAGATCTTTACACCGAACGCCTTCAACAGAGCCTAAAACATTTACAATCACAGAATAATATTTAAGATTCCACAATTAAAAACGATATATTAACAGAATTAGCTAACGAGTTTGAATCTTTGAAATATGCATATATAATAATAAAATAAAACAAGTTTTTAGAAAATCTTTCCTTGAAAGAAAGTGTTTAAACATCGAGAACATTTAAAATAAATTAAATTTAAAACAATGTTATGTCTACATATAAAATATAGAGAGCAGATGGAAATAATAATGTACAGTGTTATAAAAGAAAAAGATCTTTAAATATAAATTAGATTTTTACGAATAATTTTGAATTAATTCGATGTTTTCTGTGCGAATTATTATTTATTATTAATTAAATCGTAAACGTAATATATACATTAACAAGATTTGCAAGTACTTACGGTAGGATAAAGTTCCCAGCATGCGAATAGAATGTCTCCACATTTTCGAAATATCGGTGGACTAAATAACAACAGTGGCAAGAGCGGACAGGCAATAAATAAAAAACCTGCCGCTATACTACCATACCACAGAGCACAGTATAATGTACCACGTAAAAATCCGCGCATTACAGTCTGGGAGTGGATATCCTGAAAATAATATGAAATGCATTGGCATGGGAACAAAAATATTACTAATCGTACCTATCACGATTTGCGTCTATTCTCAGAAGTCAATTGCTAGTAATAATTTCGCAAGAACATACACGAAAACGAATATTTCGCATCCGATATGCATATAAAAATAAAGATTTAATTTCACATTTCTGCATTAAAAAAATAAAAATTACAAACATCTCCGTGAAACTCACTTTCACATGTGTATCGTGCAATTGAAGCACCTTTTACGGACATTGGATCTTGACTGTTTCCTTATGAAACACTGTGGCTTCCTCCTAGTTCTGTTAGAGGGGTTTCTCTTTTCTACCCCTTTCACCCTCGCTCTTTATTCAGCC